ATTCTATAAGAGGAATGCTTCTCTGGGGCACTTGGTGTCTTACAAAGCAATTTCAAGTTGCAGTTCCAAATATACTATCCTAGGAGCCCCACCACTATCACTTCTATTGCCTAGTCATTACCATAAATTATTACACGGGAGCTAAATAYACATTTCCAATCTCCATGATGTCCAAACAGTTCTGCAGTCAGAGAAATTAAATGTACCCTGTGGTGCGCCCTAATAATCAGCATTGAGTGTTTTGGATCAAACAGCAGAAAATTCAAAGCTTAAGGGTCTTCACAGAAAGTCCAGGAAAAAAAACATAATTTTAGAGTGTCTTAATTTCAAAAAGAGCATTTGTATGTCTGTAACACAGGAAATCCATATGGGAATGAGCAAGCAAATAAACTGATATGTATCTCCATTATCAGTGCAAAGCAGTAAATACTTTTTCTGTTATGTGTATGTTTAAAAGAATAAACTAATGTGACTGAGCATAAAATCAAGTGAATCATATGGTCAACTTGTAACGGGTGGGATACAGTGGAGTGGCAGAGATGACATACATTTCCCTCCCCCCCAAAAAAAGGCAAAATCAAGAACAAACCGGAACATTTTCTATGTGATTTCACAGGAGGCAACAGGGCATAAAGCACCACAAAAATCTTTACCTCTGGGCTTCTGTTTCTCCTTTTACTTCTGTTTTGAGAAAACAAAACAAAGCGATAAACAAACACACAAAAAATACCCAAATGAGTTGCCTGTGTGTGTCACCTGTGAATGCCGTCTGCACAGCCCTGATCTTTCTCATTGGGGAATTTCCCCCAGAAATACAGGGCGCAGGCACAACTTAGGTCCCACTTAAACTCAACATGTAAATGGATCACAGGCCTTTGATGGAGCTGTTCCACAGGTGACTTCACTGTGGCAAAACAGGAGGATTTTAGCTAGCTCACACACAGAGATGGAAACTTTGTTGTGTCCTACAACACAGCCATCTACAGGCGTCGTTACATGTGCCCTCCTCTTAAGCTATTTCAAGGTATTCCTCCTCCAAYGCTATTAAGTGCCAGACTTTCTATTTTGAGCAATTTGTTCCATGTGCATAAGGATATTAACACGCCTGAGCTCTATGGTTATAGAGTGAAAATAAAATGGGTCAAGAAATGACATAGTTAATGGCATCAGGAGAACTTTATATGTACTGCATATATACAGTGATGTCAATATGTTTGTTGATAGACCATTACCACATGCAAAATGCCCTACATACAGGACAATCTTCATCACAGCAAAGAAAAGCTTAATAAAAGTACTTTTTTTTGGATATTCTGTCTCTCTCCTCCAAAATCCTTGCTTTACAGAGCTTGACTTTGCATTCCTAAAATTAAAATTAACATTTCACAGAAATAACAGGAAGAATGAACCAGGAGCATGTGATTGGTTTTGTTTTGTTACCATGTTTTGCATCATGAATGACTGATTCCATTCGCAACCATAAGCTTTGTGGGTTTATGTAAAATGCAGCTATAACCAGGTCACAGACAGGTGGAATAATAATTTAAAAGCAAAASTATCTCAGGATTTTTAATTTCACAGTACAGTTGAACTTATCTTAGCCAACCAATGAAAGGGACCAACCAGATAGAGGTCCTTAACGAGATGGATCTTCTAATAGAGGTGAAGTAGATTTTTCCTCCTTTAATACACAGAAAATTCTGAATAATCTCTGAAGACAGTAATTTTTCTAATATTTGGTGAAGCTTTAGTATAGCTAATGTAGAGTTTGTTAAAGTTTATATTGTATGAATTCTCTTTTTATATCTGTTATGCTCATTAAATACAAAGCATAATAGAGGAACAGTGACTCCAATAGTTAAATCTCTCATTTGGGAGCCTGAGGCAGCTCACTCTGTAAAGACATCATCCTTTAAATGAATCAGGTATGTACAATCACTAAATATCGAAAATCTCAGTAATCATTTTGTTATCTAAATTTTATGAATCATACAGATGACCACATTTACTATATTTCAAATGCCTGAAGATTATTGTTAGCTATTTCCTCTTTAGACAATTAAAAAGTCTAGCTTGCTCTGGCATTCATTTATCATATTTATATAATCACACAGTTTAGCTAAACAAAAAGAGAACAACAAAAACTCTATGCTATTTATAATGAGCACTTTTAAAATTCACACTTCTTTCTCCTTGCTCGTTAGTTAAAGACTTTATCCATTTAAACGGTCAGTTTCATCATATTCTTTTCTAAATATAAAGTCTGAGCTATTTTCAGGCCACTCAAGGAAAGTCATTGTGTGCAACACCAARCTCTCTGATTTGCTGCTGGCAGAGGCATTCGAAAATGTCACGGTGCCCTGTTAATGGACAGGACCAGATAGCACTTATGACCACTGCTGATTTAGATCACTGATTTCTTCACACTCAAAGTCATTTCGCTTAACGAGGTATATTGAATTTCAGTTTTGAATAGCACTATCACAGATACAACCCTCTCCTTCTCTGAAAAGTCACCTGCACTTGTAATGTGCATTTAYACAGGTCTCGATGAACACAAACTGGAAGGAAGTTGCCGCTGTGGCATGCAGAACTGTACACTCAACTCTTGGCTCTCTGTGGGTGTGTAACCCAGGCTGCAGATTAGCTGTGCTATGCTAAGACAAAGCCGAAAGGAAAAAAAAAAAAAAAAAGGAAAAACACCCACCATTTTTCTTTGGATTTCTGATCTCACATTTACTTCACCTTAATTTAATTCTGTGATAAATCTAATAAATACAGGAAGTTCTYAGTCTTGTGTGCAGACGCGGTGAATTACCACTGCTATAGCTTTCTGCAGGTTGGTCTTCTCTACTTCCATTTCCAATAATTGAGAGCTGACTGTGTAACCACGGAAGAACCCAGCAACTTTTTTTTTTTTTTAACGTTTGTTAAAAAAACAGATTTTAGTCAAAACACATATCCAAATTCTCTCCACGAAAACAATCAGACTTCCCTTTCGCTTTGTATCCCACRGGTAAGAGCAGCCTGCTGCATTCCTGGGCTCCGACTAATAAAACGAGCATGTTCTCATGCATGAGATGCRGAGCAAAGGCAACGCAAGGGAACAAACCCAGTGCACTTAGACAGAGACAGAAAGTGGACTCCTCTGCCCTCGAGGCCTAGGGACTGACTGTATGCCATTTTGCAAAAATATTTTGCAGCTGTACCCAAGACGCTGCCTTAATTTGCTAACTGTACATTTCACTCGTTTAGAGGGTCATTAGCACCGAATACGCTTTTCAGAATCAAATGCTCCTGGGCAAAACCACAGTAACATAACCTGGGGAGCATCCRTATCGCGGCCAAAGCCAAAAGACAGAGGTACCCCACGCTGGCAGCTAAGCACTGGGGAAGGACCACGCTGAAAACTCCCAGAGCAGCTGGGAGGAACCTGCCGTCTCGGTCTGTCTTCAGGAAGGGAACCGAGGCCCTGGCAGAGCCCGGGAAGCTGCTGCGAGAAGCTACTGCTGGGGGACGTGGGTTCCTTCTATCTATAGCGGAGGAGAGATGGTGAAATACTTCCTAAGGAGCCCTGGAGAAGGAAAAATACAACACGGCTCAGGAAATGAAATACATCCTCAAGAAGTTTTCACAGACAGACTGGAAAAGCACCAGAGGGGCAACAGAGGGGAGCAAAACAACAGAAGCAGAGAGCCCTTTTTTGAGGGCATATGTCTTTACTTCTTTTTTTCTGACACCTTACTCACTAAAATAAAAACAACTAACTTTGCATGAGGCTCATAAGCATTACAGATGGATTCAGGTATGAAATAGTGTGATATTCATGGCTACTCTGCAACAGAACAGTAACCTACCATCCTTGAATCCTAGCTTTGGTAACAGCCTAAATCCTGGATTACAATGAAAGCAAAAAGCTTTTCACAGTGTGACAGACAACAGTGTATTGAATTGGAAGAAACCTCCTTGCTCTTCTGAATTTATACTCTAACGTATGAAGTTTGATGTGCTGACTAGGATCAAAATGACAACCATGACAAAAATAGCAGGTACTATTTTAATGCATGTATACATACAATCCTTGTAGGAGTCTTTAAACTGCTTGACATCCTGTGCCAGTGAGTTCCACTGAGTAATAATTTTGCATAAAACATTGCTTGATATGTAGCCTTTTAATTTCATTGAACATCCCCTTGATCTTTTAACACTGCAGAGAATAAAAGGAAGTACTTCTGTCACAAGACTTCTTATGGAACAACTATAAAAACTCACTTAAAGTACCTTTCCTTTGCCAGGTAGTAATACAATTGCGTATTTTTCAGTTAGTCAAAGGAATTATATTCATATCAAAAGAAAAACATTTAGCAAAATATTTGCTTTCAGACTTGTTCACTGTTTATTATTTTAATTTACATCAGTTACTGCTTGCAAAACTTCCAGGGAAATATTTTTAAATAGATTTTTTCTTTTCCCACTGCATAGTAAATACAGCCTTCTTAGTATTTCAGAAGCATAGTACTATAGAAACACTAGGGCCTGCTTCTGCTCCAAATGAAGTTAATGGGAAAACACCAACTGACTTGATTAGGAGTTAGGTCAGGCCCTGAATTTGCAGCTTTTGAAATATCATAGTTGAAAATGTTCTGGCTAATCTTCAGAACTGACTACTTCTACGACTACAACACTATTTACAACTTTATTTATATGTATTTCTTTATTACAATATGTAATATCAATGTTCCTTGTAAAGGTTACTATTTTATAGAAATTAGACTGAAGTTATTGCCAATCAACCTTTTAATAAACTTAAGTGGGATAACTTTCAGATTTTTTCTCCACATAGATTTAGCTTTTACTCACGCTTGCTACCTTTGACAACTGCTTAGCTTTCTAAATTTCAAAGCCTTTTTCAGCATAATAAAAAAAAGTCCTTTTGGTAGAAGTTTATTGGTCCCATTGCAAATTAAGTTCTGAAATATTCTTGTACTGATGAGGACTCGTTATTTTAGCTTTTTTTTTTTTCTGTTTCAACACAGTATATTAAGCCATGCCTCTCAACCAATCAACCTCAGTATAAAGTGTGAGGTCAAATAGATTGTTCACTAAATCTTTGATCAAGTTGTCTGATCACATATAGACAGAACTCTCTGAATTGTTGCATATGTTGCATAATGTTCTCATATAAATTTAGGYATTTTCGTTATTGACTGCTGCTTGTGTTGGTATGTATTAACTTGCTGGTCATAAAACAACAAYAAAGGACAAGATACACCGATACTAAATTAAGACCTCTGGTCTTGTCTCTCCAAAAATTAAGAAAAATCGATGTTTTTTAYGATTAAGTGACTCATGGTGTTGTGCTTCAAATATACACATTTTCCCAAATTAAACTGTGAAGTTTATGTCAAATACTGTGTTGTAACTTTAAATATAACTGACATATTAGAACAGATAGATGGGTAATTATGATAAACTACACAATAGTGCTACTGTAGATAATATCATTTATCAATCCTGTGGTCCCCATCATTCATGCATTTTACAGTTTGGGAATACAGTGACTGCAAAGGATAATAATTCATAATGGCTACATTCTCAGTACTTCATGCTAGCTCACTAGACAAAATAAAAAAAGGTTAATTGTATAACTGGAAAAATGTAAAATTTTATTCCAAGAAAATTAACAAGCTACACAGGTAAATTTTGGCAAATGCAACTTTATATTGAAATCCACACATCTGTATCTTAGAGAAGGAAAGACTCACAGACTCTAATGTATTTCTAAAATACTAAGAAATCATATTATATGCTTTCACAAGTTAAAACTTAAATAATTTAAAACAACCAATACACCAAAATGTGCAGAAAATATAAACAAGACTGTGCCTTCAGTAGAATAAATGCTTCACAAATTGTGCAAGATATCATACTAAGGCTGCGGTCTCCCCATGACAGCTGTCTTAAAATATAAACATACATCAACTGCCTGTGTTTCTCGGAACAAACTAGAAAGGGCGGCACACCTAGAAAAAAATCGTATCATCCCAGTGATGTGCATACTGATTTTGGGAACCATCGGACTAAAAAGGAAAAAAAAAATCAAAATGAAAGGACTAAGTGATCTTTCATGCACTCCCAGATGACTGACCAGAGTTACTGATTCAATTTTCCTCGCTTATTTGCTTCGATGCTAAACAAAATGGAAGATACTAGATAACCCTTTAAGGCAACATGTGTTTATTCTGTATAATTATAACTGTTCAGTTATGACTGGTTATTATCATTATCGTTGCCTAACAGACTGATATCTAGCTTTTTAGAAAATATAAATAAGAATATATTAAACTTTATACCAAATCAGCAAAAACCACAGAATACAGTTAAATGTTATTAATCTCACCGTTAAGGAAAATGGTATTTAGAAAGAGTAATATATTTGGAAAGAAAAGAAAAGAAAAAAAGTAAAGTCTAAATCTGAACAAAAATACTGCTTTGGAATGCTCCCCAAAACTTACTTACAAGGCAAACAGATTTGTAAGTGTGATAATCCAATAATGCATGGCACATCTTTAATCAGTTACAGTACTTGAGTCCCCAGATTTCAGTCTTTGCAAAACAATAATTGTATGAAATGTTTTAAAGGTCTTCAGATGTCTAAAATTAGTTTTATCAACACATTAACCTCATATCAACTTAATTTATTAAGATGTCCAATGCTAATCTTTTTGATGGTCTTATTTTATGTAGTGATATACACAGCATTTAGCACTGATACTTAGCACCTGCTACTTTCATAATCTAGATTTCAACCACATAAAGGAATTCAGGGCAGTAGTTCAGTCCTTTGTTCTTAATTACAAACCTTCAGCAGTGGTCAGCAGGAACATGTTTAGGTTTAAAACAGGATTAGAGGTGAGCTATTGCAAAGACTGCAGAATGTTGCCCAAATCCTTACAACTGCTGACATCCCATTCTTGATTTTCTTCTCAAGACATGGCTACAGGCCACAATTGCTTAGCAGAGAATGGTAGTGTTTCACAAGGCTAAAGATTTACAGATGCTCCCTCATATAACACAGTAAGGTTCCCTTGGTAACCTGGATTTTCTGCAGTAAAGAAGGGTTGTGCTGAAACAGCGCCTCAGCTCCCTGTTGGAGAAAATGCAGACAAAAGGATTGATTCCAGCTTGGGCAAAACTCATCCAGACAGCGGCCGTTAGAAATCCCCCGGGTACTACAGGCCCTCTTGCAAAAACTCTCCAGTAACAGGCTACCAAATAGGGACCCCACAAGGTCAGAAAGAGGAATGTCATGATGTAGAACATTCTGCTGATTCTCTTCTCCATTTTGAACTCATCTAAAACCAGTAGCCTTCTCCTGCCCGTGGTGTTCGCATTTTGCCGGATTCCCAGCAAGGTTGGAGGTGTGGGACCCCTTCCAAATCCAGCCAGCCAATTAGCAGCTGCTTGACCACTGGCTCCAGGACCGTGAAAAGTCCAGTTCTGGCTCACTGCTGCAACAAACTGGACTGGCTTCATTTTCCTGCGATCGTGAACAAAAAAGATCAGCTTGAGGTAGACAAGCTGTGTGGCTAGGAGGATAAGGGCAAGAAGAAGCATAAATCCCAAGGAATCATTAGCCCTGAAGGAACGATGCTGGAAAGTGCATTGGTCTTCCTCCCTAATGAACGAGTAGGTGCCCACRTCTAGAACTGGGGGGAAAGCCATGGCTACCGAGAGGGTCCACACCATACAGATGACYGCCAGGCAAGTCCAGAAGGTCAGTCTTTTTGTATAAAAACGGTGGTGGGCAATAGCTAGGTATCTGGTGACGCTTATGCAGAATAACATGAAAGCAGTGTGGAAGCAGGACAAAACCCCCAAAAAGGCGATCACTTTGCAAGTAAGAGTCCCATACGTCCAAGTAGAGCCATTTTTTACAGAGGTGAAAACAAATGGGAAACAAATTGCAGATCTGAGGATATCTGAGCAGCAAAGATCCAACAGGAAGTAGTAAGGAGCTCTATGCAAGGTCTTATCTTTGACTAGCAAAATGGAGATCAGAAGGTTACCCACCACACTGACTCCTATTATGAAACCCAGTGAAGTCAGTTTCAGGAAAGCTGTTAAAGGAGAGAGATTTTGTAAAATGTTGTCAGCTGCATGGCTGTAGTTCGCCATAGATGGATGGATGATATGTATATTGCCTCAGTCAAGTCTCATGATCTATATATAAGAACAAGGAAAAAATAGATCCATACATCTTACTGCAAATGTAATCCACAAACAGAACTGATCTTGTGTCTAGTCACACAGTACATCCTCTTCTTTCTGATTTGTCATGCCATCAAAATATCTGAAAAAAAATCGAGCTATCAGTTCTTAAGTTAACAAGGAATGATGTCAGAAAGTGCTAACAAAGATGTTAGTTTATGGAGAACCAAATGAAGTTGTAAATTTGAGTACTATTGTTTGTTTTTAAAATCATGAGGCTTTTTCCTTTACACATACTGTTTAGCATGTTTGATTATTGGCATTTCAAGGATTGGGCTAGTGACAGTTTTGGAGCTGACCAGTGCCCCTTACATTTGCTAGTATATATAATTTTACAGTTAAAGCCTCAGAGATTTTATGAATCAAATGATCCCCAGTTTGCAACTCCAAGAGTTAATCACTGACATCTTTAAAAAACTCCCAAAACCCAAAGACTTCTGATATTTTGACATTACCTACATTTATTTTACGACCATGGTATTTATCAATGTTTTAGAGGCAGCTGCTGTTGTGTTGATACGGATCACACCCAAAGAAACCCCGCAGAATTTATGTTTTTTAACCGAAGCCACCAAAGCACATTAATCACCCAGTGTTAGTTCATGCACATCGTAAGAGAAACAGTTCTCATTATCCCCCTCCCTCCCTGCTCTAGACCGTAATTCTGTCATTTAGGCTCTCAAATAAACAGGTTCGCCAGGCAGACATAGCTCTACGCTTTAGGGGCTTCCTTCCTTTCTCTCCCTCCCCCCTTTTCGATGCAAATCTTTAAAGCCTCGACATAATTGCGCACAGACAACGGTTAATGGGAATAGTGGTGGTGTGTGTGGGGGGGACAGGCAACACACCCAAGATATAACGTGGCCGATCCTTTTGGGAGGGCTGCTTTTGGTTATGCTTAAATAAACACATAATAAATTGATTTTTGGGGAAGCTAACTGGGGCTCCTCGGTTCCTGCTAATCCTCCCGGCGGTGAGCGGCACCGGCGCGCTGTTCCATGCGGTGAAAGGAAACAAATGGAAGAGCCGCCGGCTGCCGCCGCTGCCCCCTCCGCGGCCGGGGCCGGGGCCGGGAGCGGCGCGGGCAGCGCCGGGCGCCGCCGTTACCCGCACGGCCTCTTCCCGCCGCCACCTCGGCCGCACAAAGGATATTCCCACCGAGCCCCCGGGAGGAGGGAAAAAAAAAAAAATAAAAAAAGAGAGCCCTGCCGTTCTTACCGTCCGCAAAAGAGCCCGACTGCTGCTGTGTAAACAGAGGCTGATCAGATCGCGGCACATCGTTCCAAGCAACCATGGACCCAGGCTCCCCTCCCCCTCCTCCCTCCCGCCCGCCGCTCCCCCCCTCCGCTCCGCTCCGCTCCGCTCCCCTCCCCCCGCCGCTGGAGCTGTCCCCGCCGCGCGGCCGGCCCTGCCTCCGCACACACAACACTCGCACGCAGTCACACACACAGTCACACACACAGTCACACACACACACACACAGTCACACACACACACAGTCACACGCGCAGGGCCGGGCGGCTGCTGATGCCGCCCTGCGGGAGCCCCCGCGCCGGGGCCGCCGCCGCCTCGCAGCGCTCCCGCGACGCCGCTTCCCCAGCGAGACCCGCCACCCGCCCCAGCCCGCGGCCGGGGGTCCCCGCGCCCCTGCGGCTGCGGCCCCAGCCCCTCTCCTACCTGTTGGCGCGGGCGGTCCCCACATGCCARAGCGGCTCCTTCCCGCCAGCGCAGGGCTGCTTTCCCCGGCGTTCTGCTTTAAAACACCCCTGTATTTTTTTTTTACTCTCCCGTGCCGTCTTCCATTTCCCGTTCTTTCATTCCGTTTCTCTGTATTTTTCCCTTTTTTTTTTTTTTTTTTTTTTTTTTTATGCGCCTGGGTAGCTTGACGGTGAATCCAGTCAGTGGCTCGGGCGGCGCATGCTCAGTGCGCGTCGAGCCCCGTCCTCCCCTGTCGCAGCGCCACAAGCTCCCCCGGAACGCGGCGGCCGCCGCCGCGGCAACGGCCGCAACGGCCGCGGCAACGGCCGCAACGGCCGCAACGGCCGCGGCGCTGAGGGCAGGGCGGCCGCGGCGGCGGCTGCGGTCTCCTCGCGGGCGGCCGGGCAGCCGCAGCAGCGCCCGTAGGCTCCTCAGCGGCGGCCGGGCAGCCCCGGCGGCAGCAACCCCCTCCTCAGCGATGGCTCGGCGGCCGCATCGTCGCTCGCCTCAGTGATGGCCGGGCAGCCGCGGCGGCAGCAGGGGGCTCCTCAGCGAGGGCCGGGCAGCAGCAGTAGCCTCCTCAGTGGCGGCCAGGCAGCCCCAGCATCTCCTTAGTCTCCTCAGTGGCTTCCAGGCAGCTCCAGCAGCTCCCTAGTCTCCTCAGTGGCTTCCAGGCAGCCTCAGCATCTCCTTAGTCTCCTCAGTGGCGGCTAGGCAGCTCCAGCAGCTCCCTAGTCTCCTTAGTGGCTTCCAGGCAGCTCCAGCAGCTCCCTAGTCTCCTTAGTGGCTTCCAGGCAGCTCCAGCAGCTCCCTAGTCTCCTTAGTGATTTCCAGGCAGCTCCAGCAGCTCCCTAGCCTCCTCAGTGGCTTCCAGGTAGCTCCAGCAGCTCCGTAGCCTCCTCAGTGGCGGCCAGGCAGCCCCAGCAGCGCAGTAGCCTCCTCAGCGAGAGCTCGGCAGCAGCAGCAACAATCTCCTCCCCTGTTGCGGGCTCGGCAGCCTCAGCGATGGCCGGGCAGCCTGGGCGGCACGAGGGTCTCCTCAGCGATGGCCGGGCAGCCTGGGCGGCACGAGGGTCTCCTCAGCGATGGCCGGGCAGCCTGGGCGGCAGCAGTGGCTCCTCCGTGAGGGAAGGGCAGCCCGAGCAGCCGCGCCGGCAGCACCTCTCCGTCGTGGCGTTGCCGAGCGGAGCTGGATTTACAGGCGAGCCAGGGYAAAACCCGCTGGAGGAAGGGGAGGGCTAGGGATGAGGTGCTGCGCGGCTTGTTTATGCCTTTGAACTGCCCCCTCCCGCCCTGCCGCTTAAAATGGGGGCCAGGCAGCAGCGCCCCGCGCTCCTCCGGGCGCTTCGGCGCCCCTCAGCAGGGGGACTGAGAGGCTCCTGCTGCTCCTGCTGCTTGGATGCTGCCGTTTGCGGCCCATTTTCTTTCCTCCAAAACCTCACCCGACGAATTCCTTCTTTTCCGCTCCCGAGGCAGAGGAGGTCCCGTAGTTCGGGGAGGGCATGTTGGCCAAGGAGCCCTCACGGCACCCCACCTCTCCCTGGCTCCTCGGCTCCCTCCTCGCAGCCGGTAAACAGGCTTCTTAAAATGCAGACAACACCGGCGCAGAGCTGTCAGCGCGCTCGCTGGCAACAAGAATGAATTTTAATGCAAGCCCGTGCTCTTCGCAGCGGGGCCAGCATTTTCGCCTCGACACGTGTGGCAAGAGCAGTGAAGAGTGTGGGTGCCTCAAGCGTGACCATGGGCTCAGGCGGGTCCACATGGCACCCTTAGCTGATGGTGCCCGTTGCGGGCTCTTGGGATGGTGCTACAGGGCAAACACATGGACACGGCCGTGCTGCCTGTGGCCTGTGTTGGGGCACGAGCACCGTGCCCATCTCCCTGTGTGCGGCACCGTGCGCCTGGACGCCAGGTTAAAAGTGGRAAGAAAACATGAAGGGCTGGATAAAACCCCTTTGGGTTTTGTGCCAGGTGAAAAGAGCATGTCCCTCTGCCCTCCTGCCTATTCAGTCTTTATGTAAGTCTGTCTGTCTGTGAGAAATAGGAACAACAAAGAATACTCTGAAGTCATTTAATTTGATTTCAAGGCTGTTGTAGAACACCTTATTTTGGGAAGAGGGATATAGATTCTGTGAAACTTCTTCACTGGGACCTTCCAATTCAAGTCAAAATAAATKCTTCCCGGGGATAGTTTTACAGGGTCGACTCATAATGTGTGTGTCATTTTTGAGACCATTAGTAGACTAGAGGCATATTTTAAACTATTGTCATTTTTTTTCCCTTTGGCACTCTCTAATAGTCATTGTAATCAGTGAGCAAACCCCAGGATGAGCCAATTCAAACCTAAGGGTCTGCAGAAACTGGAAAATAATTTAAAACAAAAATTTCACCTCTTCAAGCTTATGAAAGTTAGCCAGGACAGAAAACTCATGCAGACCCCAAGTACCACTTTTTTTTTTTTTCTTCCTTTTTTTTCCCCCATGGATGTGATTATGATAGCCTTGTGCTGATGCTCATCTTTGGAGTTAGCTTCACCTTCTAAAAACTGGCATTTTGGGTAGTTTGTAAAGTTATCTCAAGCTGTACTGTTCAAATGCTTCCATCAGTTCAGCTGAGCAGACCTGCCCTAATCTCTCACTTCTGTGGCTATAGATAGGTAGGCAGCCAAACACACAGATGCCTTAAAGTGATTATTGATGTCAAAATATGAAGAGCAAGGAAGTGGCTACTACTAAAAGGAGGCATTTAATGGGCTAGTACAGGAAAGGATTCCTTGAATGAATTGAAAATTAAATAATTAAAATACTAGATTAGGAAACAGATTTATCATTTGTGATGATACAAAACAGCATTTAAAGAGTAAAAAGTATGACATCATAAAAATATAATATCATATCTTTAAACCATTTTTGTATCTGTGCTTTTGCATAGAAACCTTATACAAGTGTATTGCTGTATAACATTTAAGAACTTGCTTTTATTTTATACATTTCATGGGCTAATGAGATGTAATCCATGGTCTTCTGGAATTCATAGAATGGTGATTGCCCACTAGTTTAGCATAAATAGCTTTATTATCATATGTGCAGTCTGAGAACCAGTACTCTAGTATTATTCAACAAAATATATATACCTAAACTAAAGCTGCATACAGCTAAGCTCTTTTGTGGGGTTTTCTTTTGTGTTTTTTTGKKTTTTTTTGACAGTYRGTGGAGAAAGGCAGGTAATTCAAGGAGCATTTTATTTCATTCTAAAGCAGAAGTTGAATAAACATAGGTTGAATAAGTTACATGCTAATTGCTGTGATTGTAGGGTAGAGTTAGGCATGAGAAACCCTCAGCACAAGGGTGATAACTTTTGCTGGCGTGTGAGATAATGCTGTGGTAAGTCACTTTCCCCATAGAGGGAAAGCAAATCTGGGAGTTGTGGGACTAGGCATCTGGGAGGTAAAGGTAATTAGGGCTAGACAAGTGGAATTTCTTGGGGCTCAGGTTTTTTTGGGTGCCCGAAAATCCTGTGCTTTTGCCATGAGGAGGGATCCTGAACCCTGAGTAAACTTCCCATCGTGTGGTGTAAGGGTAATGAATGCTAAGGGCAACAGGGAGGAGACATCTAAAACCAGAGGAGCTCTGTGCTATATGAGTGTCACAGAGAAGGTGCTTAGGAGAACACAGAGAAATCTCACAAATGGAGTCTGAGATGGAAATGGGGCTGGAAGACAAGTTCCTATAAGCTGAGAACATGAGGTGAGGCCCTTTCTCACCAAGGTCAGAAACACCACCAGTTTCAATGGAATCAGAATATTAGCCATCAGTCAGAAGTTGTGGATACCTAAAATGTGAAAGATTCAGGCCCATATTCTCTTGATTATTTCAGTAATTAAGTTGTTTATAGGTTGTCCTGAAATCTGGATCTATGTGCTATTTATCCACTCTGCATAATGCAAACTGTGAAACACTGTAGGATTTTGTGACATTTGTACAAAAGAGGAGAGAGACTCTGCAAGGTATAGGCGCCTCTGTGCAGAGGCCAGCGCAAGATTTATGTATTGCTTGAGACACTGTGATAGATGCTATCAAAGTACATCCTTTTCAAAGGGCTCGAGGAATTCTTCCAAGGGAAATTTCATGCCTGAGCAGTATATTTGTGCAACTTTCAAACAGTATTTAAGTAGGACTTATGTAATACGGAGACCTGTGTAAGACCCCTGCACAGCAGAGACTTTCACCTGCAATATATCTGGTTTCTGTGCTTTGTAAACTCTTAGCAGAATAAAGACATTGTCAGGGAGTGCCTGGATCCTGGCTTGGCTCTCACACTAGAGGTAAAGGTAAATTTCATTCTATGCTGAAAATCTCTGAACTTTTCTACAACTCAGTAATGTACATTTTCACCTATAACATAGTTGTATAACTATAGGACTATAACTATCCTTATGGATAATTATTGCTTTTTTTGGGGTATAGATCTTCAGTTAGATGCTCAGATGGTTTGTATGTATTACTCAAAAGTGTTTAATGAGGTATTTTTAAAAATATTTCAAAACAGTTGTTGGATTTTTTTTTTCCTTTAAAATTGATCTATGTTGCATGTTTACACAGGGAACAATAGATATTTAAGGGCAAACGCATATAAGCTTATTTACTGAGCATGTGAAAAAAAGGTTTGTTCAGCAGAGGAAACCTCTGCTCCATGTGYCTCTCACAGGAGCAATGCACCAGAATGCTTCTGAAAATCCCATTAGATACTTATCTGTATCCTCAGGCTTCTGAACACCATTTGAACCTTTTGATGATCATACCTRTATTTTAAAGACAGGATACCACTTCCACACTGAGGTATGGTGGGTACACTGCTGAATCTGTTGCAATGTTAAATTCATTTCCTCTTGTGTGTAGTTTAGGTAGCCTGGGCAGGTAGTTACTTCATTTGCATGTTGGGTAGTTAGAAATATTAAATGGACTTAATTGCAGCCTTAAATAATTAGCAGTGTTATTAAAATACATACGTACATACATATGTAAAACAAATGCTATGCCATT